AGCCCTGCGATGGATTGGCGACCTGTCCAGGGTGTACCCCGCCTTCAACCGATTGCCGGCCGGGATTGGCTCCGCCCCCACCGTGACCCCGTTCAGGGACTAAGGGTAGAAAATGAATGAATGAATGAATAATAAATCTCAACAAAAGATCCGACTTGTTGGAACCTTTCCACCACATTCTATGGCTTTCTTTCACATGGCCAACTTGATACTAATTAAACCTAGCTCTTTAACAGCTGAGCAATTAGGTAGGCTACTGGTTGAGCAAGGCAACTTTGAAAGCTTATTTATTGTTTTAATTCCCTATTATATATATGATATTCCACAGATACTTTCACTAAACCTTTAGTAACATTTAAATATATTATCACATATTTTAATGTGAATATCAATGTTAGATGATTAAAAAGGTTCCTAAAGTTTTTTTATTTTTTTATTTTGGATTCTCCAAACTTCATTTCTGTGGACACATGCTCAAGGAGGACCTCTCTGGTGCCAAGGGGAGCAAAGGTAGAGAAGAGCGGGTTCAGTGCTACAGGAATCCGGATATGATGAAAGTGTTTCAGACGCAACTACCCCTCAGCAAAATACCACCGCTGAATGGTGAAAGCGTCGCGAGGACTATTATTCGTATTTTTATACGCCAGTAACCTCTGGAATAAGTAAGACTGGGTCACACTGGCAACTAAAGTTACCTTGAAGTTTTTGGATAAGAACTTATTCTTTCACGTAGTTTTTCTTCTTCTTTCGTCTCGGGTTAAGAGTTGGAGGAATGAAGGATGGGGATAAATCAGATTTGAAGCAAGGGAGTTGTCATGTTTGAAAGGTAAGTTGCGTTTCACATACAGTGTCTGTTTTAGTTAGGAACAACACTTTGCACGTATCCGTCGCTTTTTGATAAAGAAAAGGGTGTGTGTGAAGAAATGGGCTGCATACGGACTCTTTCAGCAAGTTTAAGGGATAAAGCGGTAGAAGGGGGATTTCCACTAAGTTTTACTGGAGCTCGACGTCACTTTCTCGGTGTGAATAAGCAGGCGACTTTCTCAGTTTGAGTATTGACTTGCATGATGTAGCCTTGTGTCTCCAAGCCTGCACTGATGATAAGACATGGATTTTCACAGCGCTGAGGGCTGAGGAAAGGGAGGACCTTCTGCTGTGTGTCCCGAAAAGACGACTGTCTCATGTCCACGGATACCGATCTCCCTCCGGAAGGGCCGACAGGGCCAGGACAGGGCCCTCACCAAGAGAGAAGTCCCCTTTTGTCACCCTCAGAAGGTAAGGGCACGGCCCTGAAATCATTTGCATGGAGGGTACAAGTTAAATATATGTAAACGCGGGAGTGGGGCTCTCAAAGGGCCATAAGAAGGTCCCAGAAGTCCTTTTGCAAAATGTAATAAACAAATATTGCATAAAACGGTAGGGTAGGGCAGCAGGATAGTCAGCAAATCAACCCCAAAAGTGTAAAAAGGTCTTGTTCTGCCTTGATTTGCATTTAAAACACAGTACTGCTCTTACTGGGCCTGTCACCCCAGTCAGGTGTGGTCCACTAGATAAAAATGTCATTCAGTATAAGCAACATGCTTCTATTTAAACTGTAGCACAGCTTCATAATCCACTGGCAAATGAAGGGAAAAAGCATTTCATAAACATTCACAAGAGAAAACTATATGTAGCCTACACAAGAGTGGTACATTATATAGTTGGGATTCCGAAACGTTTGAAATCACAGTCAGTCATGAAAGAAACTGCCTAAAAAGCAAATACAGAAAATGAGCCAATGGATGCATTAACAGATTAGTGGTTCATATCAGTATTTATCAGCCTGCTTGGGACAATATCAGCCTTGTCTTCTTAAATTATATTCATGTGACTTTTAGTATACATCAGTATCTGTGCCCCTGTCTTAAGCCTTGATAATATTTTTGCTTCTTTCCTCAGTAAAGTCTGAAGAAATGCCTTGGTGACAATTAACAGCAACCACAGCCAATTATAGTTTTTAATTAACTTTCTAGTTGCCCCTAAGATTATCACATGTAAAATAAGCTTACCCCCACACCCTTTTTCATTTTTCTTCAAACAAGCAATGAACCGTTAACCATCCTATTTATACCAAGCATTATTATGGCACTGTCAAAAAATAGCAAAGTAGGACAAAGTAAGCAATCACTGGGGCTGTTGGATTTTTACTGGACTTTCGAATGTGCTTGTAGTTAAGACTGGATTTCCCCTCTCAGGGGGCTGTGGATGTACTGAGAATAGACCTATTTATTTCTAACTGTGATCACTAAATGCTACGATGCATTACACTGCTGTTGTTAACACAACAGCCATACTACCATACATCAGCTCCAAGGTGAGATATATGCCATATTTATCTAGTGATGCTGGTCTGTACCTATCTGCCCCATCCATCACTGCTTACAAACAGATCATGTTGTAGCACTGGAACAAATGCATCAAGCCTTGGTAAATATGATTGTTAGCTTTTGCTGATTTGTATTTTTTTTTTTTTTGTAGGGATCATCACAAAAGCAGTTCATGATACAATATATACCCAGTGAATAAAGTCATTGTGAAATGATTATTTACTGAGCAAAGTATCCATAAAACTTTAAAGTCAGTAGTTCTGAAGATGGGGCTTGGAGAGATGAGTAAAACTGTCTTGTGTTTTTGCGCAGCTATCAGGCCACATACTTTTTCCAGTTTAGATGAATACAGCCTTTATGACAGTAAAAAGAAGCTTGCCAGGTAGAGCACACCCAGGAGCAGAAGGAGAGAAAATGACATCCAGAGCTCTGGCATGCCCTCTACCTGAACCTCCCCACCACATTATACAAGTATTTGCCAGCAGTCCATGTTTTTTTTGACAAAAATAAGCAGAATGACTTCTGCACCTCTGGTTCTTCCAGTTGTCAATGATAGTTGTCCACTGTGTCAGGCCCTGCAGTAAAAGTTTACATCAGTTTTTTGAGGAATGGTTGTTATATCATCAAATTAAACAACTGAAGCCCTCATGATGCAGAATAATATTTTGCTGCTCAGTTTTGTGTTCAACAGGTTTTCATTCTTCAGACATGTTTAACAGTAAATGCTTGTGACCCTAGATACTTGTGGCAGCGAATCATCCGGAAGAGCACCGTCTCCCAGGGAACCAGCCACTGAAGGACACAGTCACGTGACCGAGGGGAAGCCTAATTATTGCAAGCCTGTAAGAAGTAAGTTTTAACAACCTGGGAAAGCTGTGGGCGGACAGCAGGATATCTTGGTGTTACTTTTTTAATGATAAACAACAATGAGCCATTTAATTGCTGAGAGCAAAAATAATATATTTTTCTTGCATATTCAGGTGGTTGAACTTAACCGGATTAGGTGTTTAGCAATGTTTTATTTAACATTTTAAGTGTCATATCATCCTGTTTTATGAACATGCTTCAACTTTCAAATAGTTGTTATCATGACAGAGTGTACATGCAGAATCCAGGGTCAGTTGGCCAACTAAAATATTTGCTTCAGTGTTTCCACTCGGAATAATAGAATAGTAAGGCAATGCAGAATGCAGAGGTCTCTTGGCAAGTGAGTGGCAATATGTGTGCTCTCAAGTTCTGCCATGCTTATTCTCCATTTGTGCTGCTGCTTCCAGCCCTCAGCCCTGTGTTTTGGAAATGGGGAAATCCTGTTTGTGGTTCTGGCAGTAACTGTTATGGTGCACTTAGTACTTGGTACCAAACATTTACCTAGTGGAGAATACCTGTGCCAGCTACCAGAGGCATTTTTCTGTTGAACAGTGCTTTTAGTGTCACTCATTCTTTAGTCACAGTCACAACATTGTAAGGGTATATTATTTCTACCAGTAATCCATCATACCAATAACATACGTTTTTGATTTTACAAGGATGGTTGGTTTTTTATCTGCATCTTATATTTGATTTTATAACTTGGGAACCTTTGGAAACATGTAACTCTGAAATAGTCAGTGTTTTATGTCCTGACACAAGGAGGTTTTACAAAATAGTTATTTGGCATTGAACTGTTTATTAGTATGTCTAATTACTGTATGTCTGGATGAACTATTGTTCATTAAGATGACTTGATACTGAGCTATGTAATGCAGGTCACAAAAGGAAACCAACGGAAACCTTGTGTGTTTTTGTTGTTTCTAACAAGAGTGAGATATGTCAGCAAACGCTAATAGCAGCTGATGGCTTCCATCCATGTAAGTGCCTGGGTATAATAAGGATTGTGTTTGCATATGACAACAGTTCTTTTGTTTCTAGGTTGTTAACTTTTCCAGGGCACCTTTTTCTGCCTTTTTTTGGCATTGAGCTTAATGACTTGCCAGTGGCTTGTTTACTAAAGTAGTGAGGAAAAGAGATTCAGTTGGAAAAAAAAGAAAGATTTTCTGTCAAGAGGTCTTTCTAGCTTGGCAGGTGTGTGGAGTATTGTACTTCTGTATTGCTTTTCTTTGATCTCAGCAGATAAGCCCCTGTGACAACAGTTTTGCATTGTAATTGATGTCACCCCCTCCCCTTACTCTAACATGCACACATCTTTAGCGCACACACATATGCATGCGCACACACAGAGACAGACTCTAGTAAGGGAATCTAGAAGTCGGAAGATATGCTGCTTCTCTTTTGAGAGAGTTAGAAGAACATAAAACAGTCATGTCAAAGACAAAACCACAAATGTGTGCTATGATAATCCTTTAAAAAGCCAGGTCTTTTGTGGTTAAATTTAAAGTTGGAAATTCTTACGTTCAGCACATCTCAAGTTAATCTATTTATGCCATGCATCCGAACAGTCTCACTGGTTTTGTTCGGTGAGCTGACTGATAAGATCGTTCTCTGGCAGGGGTAATTGAGATCCCTCTTTGCCACAAAAACAGGAAATCATTAAGAAATCATCTGCCTACCTACACCCTGACCCCCCGCTGTCCAATTTAAAGCTTGTTTACAGTATGTCTAGGGTGGCTTCACATCAAGAGGACACCTGTTGTAATAAGAGTACAGATCTTATTTCAGTTATGATAACCTTGTTTTGATAAGTTGTCTTTTTAACCAGTTGGTCCCCTTAAAACATGAAAGTAAACATGGCAGTAGTTCCATTATTTAAAATGTCATGGAGCGTAGCAAACAGAGTTCAAGAGTAACTCAGTTTTGCCATGCAGCTTCAAAAATTCATCATCAGACACGTAACCTAAAAAACTAAAATGTCTGAAATTGTTCTTTGAGAAATCCACATTTATAAAAACAAAAAATACATAAATTAAAAAAAAGCCCAAGTGTAGTTGTTCCTGTGATTGCCAGCCACTGCTTTTATGAATCAAAAAAGTATACTTCTGCCCTTCCTGTGACATTGTCAGTGAACTGTTCCTCTGTGACGCCACCATCCTGGGGGAAGAGAGAGACTCTTGTGGGGGAGACAGACATTCCTCAAGAGACCGTTCTGGGTTTTCAAGCAGCTGATATCTCCTGAAAACAGGGCCTTAGCTGTCCAGCCCCTGCCTCGAAATAAATTGCTACCACCTAGCACGGGTTTTAGGAGTTTAATCGTCACATTATTCACCACATTGTTAAATGCTTTTAAAATGACTTCTGTGGTTGGTAAAGATGGCCTTACTAGCCTTTTTATTTATTTATTTATTTTAAATTATCTCAGGGAAATTCAGTAGTGAGAAAAGAAGGTCAAATAATGCCTTTTTTTCCCGGTAAAACATTAGTCTGGCCTTTGTGTGATTCTGTGATTGGGCTCTTCACTGGCACGCCTTCAACGATCTTACCTGTGTGCAGAATTGACCTTTTGGAAGTGAATCTGTGACCCCTAATAAATGCAAGGGAAATGAAAGGGATTGTGTAATGGGAGAGTGTTTCATACTTTCACCTCTGGCAAGAAGAGATTCCTTGACAGTTCATCTATTAAAATTTGTATATAAAGTATTATGATAGGAGACAGTTGTGGCATTAGACTAAGATAAAACAAAGGGCAAATGCCTTTTCATCATCAATTTCATTATCAGCAGTGTGTGTTGAATCCACATTTTTGGACTCTCACATTTTGCCTCACTTGTGTTTTAAAATTACTTAAGTACTTCAAGACTTTTTAACCCGGAATGTTTTTTTCAGCTATAGCAACTGCATTGTGATTGTTGTTATGCAAGATTCATATCTTTATTGTAATCCTCAGAGCCCTGGCTCTGCAGAAATAATATCTAAAGCATAGACCTATTATAAACTGAACCATAATTTTCAAGTGATTACTTACCAGTGGGTCATGGAATCAAAAACTGTATAAATAGGGTGAAATGCTATTGTAGGGGTTGATTAAAATGGCAATTCTAATTCTACCTCTGTTGTAATTATTTTCTCATTGTCTTGGTCCAGATAGATTTCATATGGGAAATTTCAAGTGTCTTAATTAGCATATTTTACCAGAAGTGCCCAAGCTTATTCACTGTTAATTTTTTTTCTAGATATTCATAATACTTAAGCCAAATGATTAGATATGCATACCTCACTTTGTGGGCAGAAGTCTTTTAAGTGCCTATGTTAGATACAAGGCAAAAATATATGGATTTTAAT